TTCAGCTGTGTCTTCGAACATCCGAAAAAAAATGGATAGATGGAACTGCTTCATGCCCCCGGCAGGAATCGAACCTGCACATCTCCTTGCATCAGACATGTAACTTACTGATACAGCAGGTATGAGGGGTGATCACCAAGATCCACGGGGGCTTCCTACCTACCCTCTAGTCCCGTATTTACCCTACCTTTCAGCTGTTCCGGGAACAAAAGCATTGATCGTTTACTAATACCCCCGGCAGGAATCGAACCTACACCTCTCTTTTGATTCTATGGGATACCGGCCATCCAGCAGGAGTGATCACCACGATCCACGGGGCGTTCTTCCCACCCTCCATCCCCCTTATTTGCCCTAGCCTTTGAGCTGTTCTTGGAACAAAAGGGTTCTAGAATTACTCCAGCATGCCCCGGCAGGATTCGAACCTGCTCTTCTCCCATGGAAACTGTTGCAGACTGGTCAATTTGTAGGAGTTATCACCACAATCCACAGGGGCTTCCTACCACCCATCGACCCCCGTACTTACCCTCGTCTTTTTTACGTGTTTCCTGGAACAAAAACATGGATAAATTCCGCTCATGCCCCCGGCAGGAATTGAACCTACACATCTCCCAGGCAACAGTCGCCTCGCTAGTTAGAGGGAGTGATCACCGCGATCCACGGGGGCTTCCTACCTCCCATTTACCCCTGGATGTATCCCGCTCTTTCAGCTGTGTCTTCGAATATTGAATAAAAAACATCGACGACTACTCCGAATCATGCCCCGGCAGGAATCGAACCTGCACCTCTCCCATGGAAACTCGAGGGAGAGAGCTGAGAATTTGGAGGGAGTGACCGGTGATCACCAAAATCCACGGGGACTTTCTAGCCACCAGTTACTCTCCCATTCATCCTGCCTTTTACCTGTTGGTTCAAACATCCGAATTGAAAAGGACGGCATCCCTGTTACCCATGCCCCCGGCAGTCAACGAATCTACATCTCTCCTTTGATTGCATAAGATAGCTCACGTATCCAGCAGGATTGATCACCACGATCCACGGAGGCTTCCTACCTACCCTCTACCCCCGAATTTACCCTACCTCTTAGCTGTTTTTTGGAACAAAAGCATTGGTCAAATCTTCTCATGCCCCCGGCAGGAATCGAACCTGCACCTCTCCTTTATCTCACAGGCTATCCGTACACCGGGTAGGAATGATCACCGCGATCCACAGGGGCTCCCTACCTCCTGTCTAGCCCCGTATTTACCCCACCCTCTCAGCTGTTCCTCCAACACATCGTAAAAATGAGCAGTGATCCCAAACATGCCCCCGGCAGGAATCAAACCTATGTCTCTCCATTTTATAGTATGGGCCTATATACCTACATACCAGGTAAGAGCGATCACCACGATCCACAGGAGCTCCCCAGCCACTTTTTATGCACCCATTTATCCCGTTATTTTAGCTGTTGGTTCAAACACCTGAATTCGAAAAAAACGTGCGACTGCGACCATATGCTCACGGCAGGAATCGAACCTGCACCTCTCCGTTGTATGGTATGATCGTCTCTACACACAAGGCAGGAGCGAGCACCACGATCCACAGGGGGTGAGCGGGGGAAGGAAGAGCGAGGAAAACGGAAAGAGGAAAATGAAAAATGGAAAAAGGAAAGGGAGAATGGGGAAAGGACGCGTGCGGGAAAGGACAAAGCATGTACTGGTGCGCGAGCAGCGTAGAGTGACTGCCGCGCGAAGTACAATTGTCTGCGACGAGCCTCGTATGCGAAGAGACTAGTACTGGCTCGCTTCTCGCCTCCGCGGGCCGGCAATGCCTGCGGCGCGTCCACGGAAGACGGAGGAACCAGCGGCCCGCAAGAGATCGCCGACGCGGGCGGGAAGCGGCGCCCAAGCACAGAATGCCTGTGGCGCAGACGAGAGTGCCGGCGGCCCTCGCCCACCAAGCAGGCAGAAGGCACGAAGGGGACGCCTGCGGTGCTCTTAGCCGTCGCACGACGGCCTCGCGGCTGCGGCGCCCTCACCCGCCTATTAAGGGCGGGCTCGCAGAAAAACCTCGATCTCGCACTCACAGTTTTTCCGCACTCCGCGCGGCTCGGGTGCGGCTTCCACTGCACGTCGGCGACGTCCCACGTCCCGCCCTGCGGGAGGAAGCGCGGTGGCTCGAGCGGCGCCTCGAGGTCGATGATGAAGAGGCCGCGGCGCGCGGCGAGGACGATGTCACGCGCGGTGGGTGAGATGCTCATCTGCGGGCGCACGGGTTAGCATGCACAGAATGTAGAGGAACAGCAGGGCGCACATTCCCCACCGCGTCCCCGACAAGCCCCTTCATATCAATCTGCAGCCCCGCCCGAAAATTCCTCGCCTCCTCCTAGCTCTCGCCGCCCGCGCTCCCGCTCCCGCTCCCCGCCCCGCTCCGCTCCCCTCCCCCCAGCGCGCCTATCCTCGTCCGACTCTCCCTCCCCGCTCCCGCTCCCCTCCTCCTCCAGCTTATAAAAAATGCGCTTCCGCCCGCCGCCGCCGCCGCTGGCGTCGAGCAGCGGCAGCGGCGTGCCAGCTGGGCCGGCGTTCAGGCAGGCTCATCGCGGACGGGCTCGGCGCAATCCAGGAGGGGCGCGAAGTTCACGATGTTCGTCGCGCTCGCGCTGGTGCGCGGGCAGGGGGCCTGTGTTTGCAGTGTCGACGGGTGCGACGAGTGGGAGCGCTGAAGTATCGAAATCGAATCGTCCCCGGGACGGCGCGGCATCGCGGTTACGATTCCGACGTCAGATTGCCCTGGGCTTCGTTCAGCCACCGAATCGTCCAGCAAAGTCTTCGAGAGTCCACCAATAGCAATTTTACGGAGAACAGAAATCAGAGAGCCACACGCAGCAAGGAGCAGGATCTGCGTTGAGCCAAGCTCGGAGCAGGAAGCCGGATAGACACGAGGGGCGCAGAACAGTGGTATCTACAGGACGGGCGCGACGGGAGGAAGGAGGGCCACGAATCAAATCGGCAAAGGTGGGAACAGTGGAGGCGACGCAGTCGAAACCTACGTCCAAAAACGTAGTCGGAACCAAGTCTACAAAGCACCAAAGCGAAAGGAAACAAAAACCCACCCTCCGATCCTAAATAAGCACCTCCCCCGCGTGGCTTGACGCGAGCACATGCGGGTCCTGCCGGTTCCACTTGACCTGCGTGCCGCCCGCTGTGCGAAAGAACCAAAGTCAGCGCGGTCTCCTGGTGTACCGAGCAAAAGGAGGACGAGGGACGCGCGGATAACACGGGGCGGCGCGCCGCGGGCGGGGGCGCGAAGTTCACGATGTTCGTCGCGCTCGCGCTGGTGCGCGGGCGGGGGGCCTGTGTTTGCGAGGTCGACGAGTGCGACGAGTGGGAGTGCTGAAATATCGAAATCGAATCATCCCCGGGACGGCGCGGCATCGCGGTTATTCCGACGTCAGATTGCCTTGGGCTTCGTCGAATCGTTCCCAGTGACCTAGTCCCAAATTGTCTAGCCAGTTCAAGAGTCCAGCGATAGCAAGTTTGCGGAGAAAAGAAACCAGAGAGCCACGCAGCCAGCAGCAGGATCTGCGGTGAGCCCGGGATGGCAGCTCGGGTGGAGGCGGGTTGATCGGCGTCTGGAGCTATTGGCCATCACGGCGCCGTCACGTGGGACACGCGTCGCGCTTCGGAGTCTCGAGTCTTGCGCGCTTGCAGAAGGTTGGACGCGTTTCTGGTGTATTCAGGATATCCCTTCCATGAAAAGCAATAAAAATAAGCTCGACCATGTCGTCAATACCGTATGCCCCGGCGAGGAATCGAACTATTACCGAATCCAGTTAGCTTTCAGTCCCCATCCAGTTAAGCCTGGTATGGCTTAACTGAATTCGATTAAGCCGCATAAGGGACTAGAATGCCACGACCACCACCGTGACCGAGCCCCCGTCCCACCCGTAAATACGTGAACGGCGGGCAGCCCTAAAATAGACACCTCATATATAAGAGCCGCCTGGTCAGGAATGCTAGTCCCGACTCCACCAAAGCTACCTGTCTCATGATGCGCAAAGCGCCAATTCATGCCCTCGCTGTACTATGTGTCTGCCCTATCGCTCTAGCTGATCCTGTTTGCATTGTTGGTGCGGGACCTGCTGGCTTGACCATCGCAAATCGGCTCCAAGCAAAGGGATACGACACTGTAGTCTTTGAGAAGGACGCTGAAGTCGGGGGAAAATGCCAGGCGTATTATGACGAACAGTGCGTAACATTATAAGCACTGATACTTCAGATGAGGAGCTTACACCGGGTAATTAATTTTCAGAGGCCTTTTCCATCCGATGGGCGCCCTGCTTTACTCGAACCAGACGTATCGGGAGACGCTACCCGTCATTGACGCATCTGGCGTATCTTCCTTCGTTTTCGGGTATACTTCTCCGGAATGGCTGTATGACTGGCACAATGGCTACACCGAAGAGATATCCACTCCATTGTCCGAGCTGACCGCAAACGAGCTGTTCAAGGAGGAAATCGAGAGGTACACCACCTTTTGGAATACAGAGTTTGCTCCGAAGGCGGTGATAGGATACAAGGCAAGAGGCACATTATCAGAATGCATTCTCGATCCTGACGACTCTGCTGCTCTGGTATGTAGAACGGTGTTGAAGGGTACACCATGTCGACTTTGGATTGGCTCCTCGAGAATGACTATCCTCTTCTGTTGCTACTCTTCATCAACGGGATGGTGCCCTATGGCTATGGGGACGTGAGGGAAACACCCATTGTACGTTTCTCACATCAACCCGGCAGAATCTCATTATTGAGGGTGGATGTAGCTCTACATGCTGTCATACTTCACACCCGATATTCTCCTTTTCTTCGCGGGACAGCGTGAGGGATATATCATCGGTAAGCTATTGCTGCCCGGGCGCTGGAATGTGATCTGATTTCATCCTCTATTCGCAGATTTCCATAAGGTTTTCGTCCGCTATGCTGCTATGAGCGTCAGTGGGCCTATACATTTGAACACCAGTATCACTAAAATCGGTGAGCAACATGTAACGGTTCTTGTACTCCAGAGATTTATTTGTTTCCCATCCGCTCTTGCAAAGATCGAAGCGGCAGCAGCCCGGTCATCACCTACTACGTTGACGGTCCCTCCCCCTCGCTCGCCACTCAAACCTGCTCCA